AATATAAATGATCAAAAATACAGATTTTGGATTTGGACATTATGCACAGTTTTGGAGTTTTGCATTTTATTGGATGTTATTTGTAATTTGAAAGAGAAAATATCAAAGAACACCAATTTACAGTCAATTTTTTACTATTTTTCAACCCTAAATATACATAATTTTCCTTCAAAATAACAGCAAGTATCTGTAAAGTAATTATATTTTTTCTGATTTTATTACGGTGATAATAGTGTCTCATGATGTTGTAAAAGAATGAATTAACATTAATAAAAATACAGATTTTTTTTAAACTGACAAACGTTTTTCTGTGATTTTACTAGTTGTTTTTTGCAAATAAACAAAACAGAGAAGATGCGTCAAATACCAGGAAGTTATTTGAAAAAAAAAAAAAAATCAACATTAAAAACATGTTTACTCTGTGTTCTCCCACCTTGTTGTTGCCTTGTTGATTTTCTCCTGGAGAAGGTTTTGTTCTTTCTCCGACTGCTTCAGTTTGTTCAGAGCCCGAAAGTAAACGAGCTACAGGAGAAGATTGTGTCACTTTAAATCACATAAACTACATTTTAAAAAACACAGATTGGCACTGACAGTTGATGTCTTTGTACCTCCTGCTCCTTGTGAGCTTTGCCAACAATCTTCACTTGCTCTTTGAGTTTGCGGCTGCCCTCCGAAAGAGACTTTTGCTCTTCTCTTAGACTGTCGGTTCTGCTTTTGATGAACTGAAGCTGCTTCTCTACTTGTCTGATCTTCGTCTGTGTGAGAGATAAGACAAAGAGCAAACGTCGCTTTAAAGAGGATAAATGATTTGAGTTTCTTCGGTGCACGACACCTCCTATAAACACGGGCCTGCAGCATGTGGAGGGAGGACGCTCGGTTTATGCGGTGGGTTTGAAGAGCTCCCACATTTATAAATAGACTCGTATGTGTTTAACAGAAGACTAACACTTGTGACTCACCTGACAGAGCTGAAGGTTGTCCTGATGTTTGCGATTGTTCTCCTCCTTTTCAATTCTCTCCTTCAGCTGCTGTACGAGCTGCTCCTTCTCGCCGACCTGAGAGTGATGAAAAAAATCGCCGCGATCACGTTCAAGTGCAGCAATTTACTGGAAATGATGAGCCCAGCAGACAGACTGGGTAACGCATTGTGTTGCCTCTCTTTGAATTCTGTTTCTTCTTTTCATACTTTACAGTTATATTTTTTTTTTAAGAAAAGCAGATGAAAATTAAAAATTCCATGACATTTTATAGGCTTTTTGGTCTGTTTCTATACATCTGAGCTCTTACCAAACACCAGGCCATCGCTTTCTTCAGATTCTCCAAAACCACCTTCATCTCGCTGAAGGACGAAACGTTTTCATAACGTTCTTTCTTCTGTAGAAACTCTTGCTTCAGGTCCTTCAGGCACTGAAAACAAAAATATAGATTTTTTAAAAAGGGGGGGGTATTATTCATGCACACATCAGCTGCAAGCCAGCAAATCTGATTTATTTGGTACTTTTCAAAGGCTAAAGTTACAAAGTGCTTCGTGGGAAGAAGAAGTGGGGATGTTATCAGAGGTTAAACTGAGGCTGGGGCTCACTGACGAGACTGCAGGCGGTAGAAGTTTTTTTTTCAGCCAATAGTAGTTCCAGTAATGTAATAGTTTATGGAATGAAATTTATAGATTAAACATTAAAAACTAAATTCAAATATCTCAAATTCAATCTGCCTAAAAAGCCCGATACAACTAAGATTCTGATTGTGTTTTATTTAATTTATTTATATATTTCTGTATCTTTTGGTAATTTTAATTAATGCAACTTTTTAAAAGAAGTTCTCCAAATTTTCAAAGAACAAAATTACAACATCTTAAATACAAAGGTCTATTCCCAAATACAATGCACTACGCTCAATTTTNCCACAAACCACTCAAACAGTTCAGCAGTCTGCTCGCTTAAAGTTCTGTTTTTAATGTAGGACTTCTTCCTCACTTACACCATCATTTAACCCTCCTCTTACCTTTGGGGTCAATTTGACTCTATTCAATGTTTAACATCTCTAAATAAGTCACTGACGTCGTTTTTTCAGTTTTATTTAAAAGGCTATTTATACATAGACTTAGGCAACAACTTTAATGATATTTTCTGGAGGTTTAAATTGCTGGGATCAAACTGAGAACAAGGATAAAAGATGTCAGTGAATTTGAAGGTAATTGGAGGGTTAATGTGCATTTTCTTTTTACCACTATTGTTTTTTTTCTTCTTACAGCAGTCACCTTATTTCAGTCTCCAGATCCCCACCGAGGTATTTGGCCATGCTGAAGTCGGAGGTATAGTAGCGGTTTGGATACACCTGATCCCCCTCAGCGGTGAAGGCTTCACGGCAGTTTTTAGGCGGCCGGCCTTGCTGCATGACCCTCCGCGCTTTGTCTTTTTCCTGTGATCGGACATCAAACCACGGGGCAGATGGTGACAAAAACAAAGCAACAACAACAACAAAAAAATATATATATCTACTGCATCAATCCCAAAATAACTCCCCCTGCAACATTCAGCATTAACACATGACGGGGAGACACTGACTTTGATTATGAGGATTGATTCTATCCCTCGCATATCAATCAGGCAGTTGACGATGACCGGGCTCGTTGCTGTGATTACGTCCGGCACAGATGGGTATTCTGGATGATACGCTTTCCTGTGAAGCGACGGGAAACAAATGCATATTTAAAACGTGTGGGAAAAATGTGTCGAAAGCAAATGTGGCAAAAAAAAAAAAAGAGAGAGAACAAATGCTGCTTCTGACCGTCCGTCGATGTTGTGGAGTTTTTCAGAGAAGGGGCTGACGATGATCTGCGGTCTGTTGCCCTTTGAATAAAAGCGAGACATGAGCTCCTGAAGGACCGCCTCGTCTTTGTAGTTGTCGCAGCAGAAAGCCTTCATGAAGCTCCGCAGACAGCACTCCACCGCCACAGCCAGCGTGGGATCCTTTAAATTAATGCAGGCCCCTGAGAGCAAACAGAATTTACTGCTTCACTGTGTTCAACGCAATTATGTCTCAGAAAAACGGCAGGAAATGATTTATGTGAAGCTACAGCGCAGGATATTTAAGTGTAAGTGAACATTCAAACCAAATGAGTTCACACAGTGCTGATTAATGTGTATTTGGGAGTTTAGAGGTTTAAATCTAGTGTTGCAGACGTGTGTTTTATGCAAACAACACCTCACCTGCAATTTTGCCAAATAATAATAACAATACTTATATTTCTGCAAATATCTGCCCACACAACGTACATATCACTGTCTTTTGGTTTCTCCTACCATGCACCATGGTCATGGAATAACCTTCAACAAACTCTTAAACTAGAAACATTCACATCCAGTAATGAGTTTAAGAGCATCATATAGAATACAGTAAAAGAGGAATGTCACTGTTTTTTCCTGAGAGGCTGTTGTCCTTGAATAGCTGTCGATCTGTTTTATTGTTTCATTGTTTTGCTGTCCATTATTCGTTTGTGTAGCACGTATCTGGTTTATATTGATTTTTGGACTTTGTATGGCTGCTACCTTGGCCAGGTCTCCCTTATAGAGGAGATTTCTAATCTCAATGGGACTTGAATAAAGGTAAATAAATAAAT